GAGATTCTTCTCGGGAACAGAACCATTTGTTATCTCTCTGCTGGGTCCCCTTCTGAGGCATTCGGAGTGGAACTGGTACAAACTTTGTTCCTTCATGGAGCAGAAAAATAGTCACGTGTTGCTTAATGACGGAGACCATTCTGGGGGACACACTATGAGGCCATTTCTTTGTCGGATAAACATCACCAAGTGTACTTGCACAAACTGAGATGGCTGTGACATCAACTAGTGACATAAATTTCTGCGGCCACAGTCGCATAGGGGGTCTGTCATTGATGGAAATGCCCTTATGTGGCTTGTGATTATCAACAAATGTACGTTACCAAATGCAAAACATCCTGGTAAGAATTTTGTGGAATGAGAGAAATGACAGTACACGGTCCTTCCCCTCCAAGAAGCTAACTACACATCCCAGACATCTTCTTATAATGCAGGAAGAGAGGGGGCAGTTGGTGGTGCCAGGGTAGTGTGCAGAGCAGAGCTGGAGAGTTCAAGACAGGGGAGTGTGCTGTGAGCTCTAGTGACCAGGAAAGGCCAGTTGGAGGAAGTGGGCCTAAAGATGGGGCCCCACGTGGATGGGGCAGACTGAGTGAGAACACCAGCAGGCAAGATGAACTCTCCACCCAGCCAGGGCGTGGCTGTGGCTGACTGCTGGTAGGTGCAGGGAGGCTGGCTGAGGATGTGGGCTGGAGAGCAATGAATGAGGTGGTCTCAAGCAGTGGATTGGAGTCAGACCCCAGAAGACCCTGAGAGGCCAAGCCAGGTGCTGTGGCCCAGGCCTGTAATCCCAGCATTTTGGGAGGCTGAAGCAGGAGGATCCCAACCAAATTGCCTGGGCCACCTAATCAGATCCTGTCTCAAAATAAAAAGTAAGAAGGGCTGGGTTGTAGCTCAGTGGTAGAGCTACTCTGGGTTCAATCCCCCTTACCCAAGAGGGCCAGGATAAAGGCTGGCCTGTAAGCAGCAGAGAGCCAGGGACTTCTGATATTCAGGCAGACAAACAGTGCAGCTCAGGAGGCTCTGACAGGAGGCTGGCAAGTTCAAAGCCAGTCTCAGCAATGGCGAGGCACTAAGCAGTTCAGTGAGACCCTGTCTCTAAATGAAATACAAAATAGGGCTGGGGATGTGGCTCAGTGGTTGAGTGCCCCTGAGTTCAATCCCTGATACAAAAACCAAAACCAAAACAACAACAACAACAAAAAACAATATCCTATCACCCCCATCTCATTCTTCATGAAAACCTCCTTCCTCTTAAACTCTGTCCTGCTCCCACCCTGGACTGAGGATGTGACCCAGCGATGCTCTAACGCCAAGCTACGTCCCCAGTCCTTCATTATTATTCTAAAGTTTTGAGACAGAGTCCTGCTAAATTGCCTGGATAGGCTTCAAACCTGCCATCCTCCTGCCTCAGCCCTGCAGAGTCCCTGGGATTACAGGTGTGTCACTACTCCTGGCTCCTCTTAGAACTCTTTATCTGCTGGAGATGCTGTGGAAATGTGCAGCCCCTTTAGTTAAAAAAAAAAAGAGAGAGAGAGAAAGCTAGACAGATAGTCAGGGTTTGGCTGGACAAAAGTGAGCAGAAAGTCAGAGAAATATCAGTTCCTCCCTGGGAAGTTGGGGACACTTTGGGAGGATGAGGAAGTCTTTTTCTCTGTCACTCTTTGGGTATAAGATAAAGATGCCTGGAGACAGAGTTCAAGGGAGATAGCAAAGAGGAGAGCCCTGCCCCCTCTAAGATACCTGAATCGGAGTCAAGGTCCTTTGTCATCTGTCCCCTCTGGGCCTGGGCCACGTACATCTACAGGGCCCAGAGTCCAGGGAAACATCTGGTTCCACTCAAGGGAGGGCCAGTTCGGGTTTGGTCCCTGCGGGGTCAACCCTGGGCTGCTGGCACTGGTCAGTGGCCTCAGCTCTGAGTGCATTTGGGGGCTGAGCCTAGAGATTCCAAAAACCTGCCAGGAAGCCAGCTCTGCTTTTCACAGGGAAACCTTTGAAGAGGGGCCCGCCAGGGGGCTGAGAGCTGGTGCTCCTGAGCTAGCCGTGAGTGTGTGTGTGTGTGTGTGTGTGTGTGTGTGTGAGTGTGCGCCCAACCCCCCCCCCCCCCCCCAGACCTGGGGATAAAAAGGTAAGTGAGATTTAGCCTCTGTCCTTGAGGCACTCTTAGCCTGGTGTGGGAGATGGGAGTATAAACACATATTGACAATCCTATAAGATAAAGGTTGTGAGAGAGGTATGTGAAAAATGCCCCAGTCTCCCTGTCTGGGGGAGGGGGAGCCGGGCCTGAGCCGGCGGAGGGGGAGGGGACGTGCACAGATGTGAGCCGGGGGACTGCCCGGCCTCTGGAATGCAGGTCCTTGAAGATATCCTGGCTCTGGACAATCCCTGATTGTACCCCCTGCTCCGGATGGAAGGAGCCGAGGAATCCGAAGGAGTGAGCCGTCCCTCCCAAGGATTATGATTTCCAGGAACAAAGGCAGTTTATCTAAAGCACCCTTCCCCCCCCCCCCCAAATCTCCCAGCCTCTGGTGCCCCCCTCCTTCCTGCCCACCCCCACCCCCGCCCAATAGGGCTTGGTTTCTAAATTAACGTGCTTCTCCTCATCAGCAGAGTTTTTATTAGTATTAATTATTGTGACTTGGCCCCCTCCTGTCTGAATTCTCCCAGGAACAGCCTGGGGGCCCTGCTCGCTCCATTACCCAGCATTGTGGAGCCGGGAGGTGCTTTTAACCGCGTCTTCCCATTCGATTCGCTGAACTGGGAGCTTCTTAAAGGGAAGGGGCAGAGATGGACCTGTGGGAGAGAGCAGAGCAGACAGGAGGAGCCCGAGAAGGCATCTTCCAAGGGGGTAGGGAGTTTGGCAAGTGGAGCTCTGGGTCTCGAGGTCCCAGTCATCCAGAAAGACCTACTGCCTGGACCCAACTGGGTTTTAATCCCAGACCCTGAGCCATTGACCTGCTGCTCAGCCCCTCCCTCCTCCTGCCCGGCCCTCCCCCCTCATCTTCCTGCTTGACTGCACTCCCTGTGGGACGGGCTGAGGGCCAGAGGTCCTACACTGCCCCCCGTTGCCCATCTCTGCCCCGACCCCCTCCAGCTGGGCCATGCTGCCCGCGCTGACCCTCCCACCCCTCGGAGGATCCCCAGGCCTGCCACTCTGTCCATGATGCTGGATTCTAAGCTGCAGGACCTATGGCCCCCCGCACACATCTGGGATGCCTGGTGTGAGTCAGGGGGTGAAGGGAGAATGCAGACTCATTTTTAATGTCAGTGGGAGCCAAATATAATTAGAAAGGAAAAAAAAATATCTGACTTTGCAAAATAAATAAATGAATGAATAAATAAATGGATGGATGCGATGCAAAGCCAAGTAGAAATGGCTTCCGGATTATCTGGACCGAGGCTGCTCTCCGTTTAGGCAGAAAATTGAGAAGAGAGCCTGGAAAGCCTGAATCGGAAGGGATTTAGTTGGCACATGTTGCCTTAGGTTTCTGACGAGGGGCATGTCATAAGACACAAACTCGTCCCCGGAACTGGGTGACCCCGAGACTGCCCTGGGACCTCCTAACTAGAAGGTCCGTGGGAGGGTCGGCCCCTCTGCCTGTCAGTTATTTGGAGCCTCAGTTTTTCTGAGGTCTATAAAAGGCAGATGACTGTTCCTACCTCGCAGGGTTGTTATGAGGATTGAATGAAAATATATTAAGGAACAGTATCTGGTACTCAATAAACCATAGTTATGAATATTGCACAGGGCCTGCTTTTTTCCACGGTTCACAGTGCAAGGCAGACCGGAGAGGAAACAATAGAATGAGAGATGAACAAATAATAGGCCAAATACAGATAAGTCTGTGCTAATGGTGCCAAGGGAAGTGACCAGCAATGTGGGTAATCCCTGGTCTCTGGGGTTCAGGGATCTTTGGGGAGGCTCAGGGAATAATGGAAAGTACCCTGGTTTATAATTAGGCCTGTGTCTTAGATTTGGAGACTGAATGAGCCTCTGTTTCCTCATCTGTAAAATGATTGCACCTACCCACCTATTTTAAGCCCTAAAAAAAACAAAAAAAAAAACCCTCAGAGCAGTGGTGCATGCCTGTAATCCCAACAGCTCAGGAGGCTGAGGCAGGAGGATTGCAAGTTCAAAGCCAACCTCAGCATTTAGCGAGGCTCTGTCTTAAAATTTAAAAAATAAATGAAAATAAATTTTAGAAATGGGCTGGTGATGTGACTCAGTGGTTAAACACTTGTGGGTTCAATCCCTGGTACCAAAGGGGTGGGAGGGGGAGCACTCTTAGGACAGTGCATGGTAAGTTTGAGCATCATTTTAACCACTGTCTTTCCAGAAGTCTTCAACTCATTGTGTGAGAGCAAAGGCCTCTCAAATTTTAGTGTGCTCACAAGACATCTGGGAAAGCCAGGCCACACCTGTGATCCCAGCGACTTGGGAGGCTGAGGCAGGAGGATTGCAAGTTTAATGCCAGCCTGGGCAACTTAGCAATTCCCTGCCTCAAAATGAAAAATAAAAAGGGCTGGGGTTGTGGCTCAGGGGTGGAGCACCCTTAGTTCAATCCCAGAACTGCAAGACGAAACAGCTGGGTAGACTCTTGATGCCGAAAGGCTGGTGCCAGACGCTTGTCCTAGGACCACACTCCTGAGGTGTGAGAGCATGCTCTCCTCTAGGGAAATAGATCTGCAGCCATTCTAATGGGAATCAAGATAAAATAGAATTCATTAACAGAGTTTGCTTTTCAGCCAGCTTTAGTTGTGTAACACCCCCCTGATGGATCATTGATTCGGGAGTCCCGGGGTGTTTGTTTTAGGAAAGCGAGTCGTGGGACAGGAGAGGGTGCAGAGCTTGCCTGTGTGTGCCTGTCCTCAGCTGCAACGCTGACCTGTCCATTTCCTCCCGGTGACCCCACCCACTCCCTGCCAAATCTGTACTCACGCTGCCAGCTTCCGAGTTGAAAACCGGCCAATGTGTTGGTCGAAACTCCTCTGTGCCTGAGCCAGTCATTTCCATTCCATTTTATTATTATTATTTTTAAATGAAAAGTCCTCATAATTCTTCTCAATGGGAGATTTTTTGGGGGGTGTCATTTTGACAGAGCATTTGGTCAGAGTCTTGATCCTGTTGGTTTGACTTGAAAGTTGGGTCAGGAGCCAATCGCATCATGGTGGGGAGGAAGGGAGGTCCTGGGCTCAAGGGGGGGGGCGGGGCATGATTTTGGGGGAGCGGTGGGGAACCTTCTCCGGGTATGTCAGCTTCTCATTCTGTGTAGACCCAACACTTGCTCGCCAATGTGGCGCCCTGACTCAGGCTCCCTCCCATCTCCATCACTGTGAGAGCTCCGGGCTACAGAGGAAGATCTGGAGGTCAGAGAGGAGAGACTCCTGCCTTCAGGGGTCTCCTGGTTCTGTGGGGAAACTCAGACAGGAACCCCCACTGATTCTCCTTCATCCTGTCTTCCTTCCCATACAAAACGTGGCCATCTGTAGTTGTGAATGGGAACTCACGCAGACCATGAGCATCGATCCTGAGGGGTTTCACAGTAAATAAGGAAGGGGCCTGACGGATCAGGTTAGGCTTCCTGGAAATGGAGAAATAAAACTGATGTCAGAAAGGAACGTGGAGGGACGGTTCTTTAAGAACCCCAACATCAGCCCGTCCAGTGTCACACCCCTGTAATCCCAGAGGCTTGGGGAAAATCGCAGATTCAAGGCCAGCTTGGGCAATTTAGCAAGGCTGTCTCAAATTTAAAAATAAAAAGATCTGGGGGTGTAGCTCAGTTGTAGTGCCGTGGGGTTTAATTCTTCCTGCCGCCAAAGAAAAAAACCAAAAAAAACCCTCAGCATCTTTGGACTCTTAAGATCTCTCTCTCTCTCTCTCTCTCTCTCTTTCCCTCCCTCCCTCTCTCTCATACTAGGGATTGAACCCAGGGGGCACTGACTCACATCCTCAGCCCCCCTTTTTTTATGTTTTATTTTGAGATAGGGTCTCCCTGAGGCTGGCCTCCAACTTGTAATCCTCCTGCCTCAGCCTCCTGAATCACTGGGATTACAGGAATGTGCCACCACACTCAGCTTCCAGGTCGCACTCTTAAGACCCAATTAACTGGGGGTCAACCTGCACATCCATGTTTAAAGAAAAAGGAGTTTCATCAGCTAAATCTGCTCACTCACTCTCATGATCTGATACTCTGTGGCAAGCAGGAAGTTCTTCTTTGTGTCTAACCTGAAACTTTTCCATTTCCTGCATGGAAGCAGTCTAATTAGGGACTGTGACAGAATGCATCCTCCGTATTCTCTTGTCTGTACATTTTTCTCAAACTTCAAGGCAAAGTTCCCGATACTTAAGAAACAAGCCTAGGTGAAGCTGCTTCTGAGGAGCCAAAGAGGTTTCTCTCATGAGGAGTCAGATTTGCCCTCCAGCTAATCACGGAGGCGGCCCTTTGCAGTGTCTCCAGCCAGGGCCAGAAAGACAGAGTTCACAGGAACCTGCCTGAGTCACGCTGTGCCCTTACCTGTCCAGTTCCCCTTCTCTGCAACTCAGAGCAGCTGGGGGCCTGAGAGCTCTGCCGTCCTTCCCATCTCTCTGGCCACGGGGTGGGGGTGGCAGGCCGGGAGAGATGCTGGCATCTGCTGCTGAAGCCAGGTAGGGAGGGAAGTGGGCACAGGGCTGGTGTCAGGGTGGCCCAAACCGCAGTCAATAACTGTGCTGGCAGGAATATCGTCCTCTCAGAATCACAGGATGTCCTTCCTCGGCCCAGTCTGTGTGGGTGGACACTAAGCAATATGAGTGTGGGCAGAGGAAGGGCAGGTTGGAGCATCCGTGGGGGGCCTGCCTTTGGGAGTCTCCTAACCCGAGGAAGGAGTTGGGCATTTCCCTGGACCCGACTAACCGCCAGCTCTTAGCTCTCAACCTGAACTTGAGGGAGAAGACAACTCCATTTCTGCTCTTCAATAGGGGAGTTGGCAACCCATACTTAGCCGATACAAACACATAAATACCTAGATCATCTAAATAATGGGGGCGGATTTCGAATCCTGTTATGCGCCTGCTGTGCAGAAGAGGATAGAAGAGGCTCTAGAAACCACGCACACGCGGTGGCGCACGCCTGTAAGACCAACTGCTTGAGAGGCTGAGACAGGAGGATCACAAGTTCAGAGGCCAGCCTCTCGTCAACCCAGCAAGGCCCTTAGCAACGTAGTGAGACCTTGTGTCAAAATAAATAAATAAACAGGGCTGGGTGTGTGACTCAGCAGTGGATCACCCTTGGGTTCAATCCCCAGCACTGAAGGGGGCGGGGGAGAGAAAATACTAGAAATAACTGCACCTGGGCAGTCAGTTAGGGAAGTTTCCTTGGGAGGGTGGAGGGAAGGCAAGAGGAAGGAATGGATCCAGGTGGGAAGGAGAGACGGGAAGGTAGGGAGCCCCCTGGAGGAGGAGGGCTTTGGAACCAGAGTGGAGGCCAGGAAAAGATGTGGAGCCCTGGGGTCACCTTGCCAAGTGCGGCCCCTGCAGCAGTCACACCAGCCTTGTGACAGGCTCCCACATGCCCAAGGCAGCCCTGCACCCCGTGAGGTCTGGCCCCTTGAGGACAGGGTGGAACGAGGTCCTCCAAGAAGACGGGTCCGTGGTCCCCGCAGAGAGGAGCGCAGAGTGGACACAGTGACAGGCTGTGTGTTTGCAGGGTAGCGCCAGCCTGTGGGGCCGCCGGCACGTGTTCAGGGGTAGTGTCCCCTTTATCAAGGGTAGGAGGATAGGACAGCCATGGCCCCGGGTCCTGGGAGCTCAGCCTGTGGCCGGCACGGGGACAATCTGCGCAGCCCACTCGGTGGCTGGCCTCCCTCAGCAGAGCCCGAGGCCCCCTTGCCCTGGCTCTCCCCGCCCCCCAGCCGGAGGCTCCCCAGGCCCCCTTCCTCCTGCTGTCCTTCCCTGTCTGTCCGTCTGTCTGTCACTCGGCGGGAGTGAGATGCGCCCTGCTCCTGGAGCATTTGGTGCTTGATAATTTGTGGATTATAGCTAACTCTCGATAAAGATTCCCCTAATTGCTTGGCTCACCTCAGGTTCTATCATCAAAGCAAAGCCGAGAGGCCCCCCTCTCGCCCTCCTTTTCTTTTTATTATCTCTTAATTAATCACTCTGGCTTTCACACTTAGCAGATAATTACAGTCTCCTGGGCATGCGGCTCATTTTCATAACCTCCTGCTCCCAGCCAGCAGCAGAGGGGGTGGGGAGGGAGAGGGAGACCAGGGGAGAGTGGGCAGAGCCCTGCTGGAGGGACGGGGGTGCCGGCAGCCAGGGGGTGAGGCCACGGGAACCAGGACCCTGGGCCCGCCCTGCAGGGCCGGCCACTGGAGCCCAGTCTTCATCCCCAGAGCGGTGTGTGCCTCTGGCTCCCCCGGCCTGCCCTGGGGTACTGCAGGAGCAGCCCAGGTCACACAGCGCAGGAGGAGCTGGAGGGGGTCCCCAGGGGAGTTGGTGCACCCCTGTGCCGGGAAGTGGGGCGCACAGAAGTGGGAGAGGCCGTTCAGGGGCTCCCCAATCTGCCCATCGTTCCCATTTTCGAGATGGGGAAGAGCTGCTGCTGCTGCTCAGGGAGAGGGATTGGTCCAAACCACACCAAATTGGACCCAGGCTTGTCGGATTGACTGGAAAAGGTCCTGTTCTTCTTTTTCTTTTTTTCCATTTTGGAAGTGGGGATTCAGTCAGGAGTGCTTTGCCCCCGAGCCACACCCCAGCCCCTTTTATCTTTTATTTTAAAACAGGGGGCTCCCTGAATCTCCCAGGCTGGCCTCCGACTTGCGGTCCTGGCAGCCCGTGGGTGAGACTCCTAAGCAAGCCGGGACTCCAGGCGTGTCCTACCCAGGCCCCATGAAAAGGTGGAGTTCTCAACCCTGGAGGGCCCCGGCTCCACAGGGTCAGAGCACAGGACCGGAAATAGGGGGAAAGGGAGGGAGAGGATGCCCTTCCTGCTGGGCCCTCACCCCTGGACCTGAGCGCCCACGGCTCTGCCTCTGCCGCAGGACCTTCCTTGGGCTTCCAACCCAGAGAGACCACGGGTCCAGATGAAGGATCAGAGAGGCCCAGGATGGCAGTGTATCCAGCGAGTTAGACACAGAGCTGGACTGGAATGCAAACCTCCCGTGTGTGTGTGTGTGTGTGTGTGTGTGTGTGTGTGTGTGTGTTTTCTATGTCTGTTCCTCATTTCTGGGTCTCAGCAGGTCTCTGTGGCCTGGGCCTCTGTGAGTCCTAAAGGAAGAGGCGGGGACTTGTAATCCCAGTTGCAAGTAGGTTGAGGATGGAGATGGAAAAGAGACCAGCCTGGGAGGTTTAGCAAGGCCCAGATTCAAAATAAGAAAGGACGTGCTCTTGCCCATCTAGATACGGCTCTAGCACCATTTGTGCCCCTAATGGAGTGGCCTTCCTCAGTGACCTGGGCCTGTCTTCTTAGCATACAATGAGAAGGTCAGTCTCCTAGCTACCTTCTGGCTGCAGTTCTCTGACTGCTTGCCATCCTGTGAGGGTTCCCCAGAAGGACTGGCTCTTCCCAAACGGGGCCCCGGACCTCTCTGATGAATTTTGTGAGCGATGGCTGCAGGTCCTGGTTTCCGAGGGCCAGAGCAGGGGTGTCCCTGGAGGAGCCGCGTTTGCTCAGGAATCACAGTGGAAGCCAGGGATTTCCTCCATGTTCAGATCTGGCCTGGACTTGGGATAGGTGAGCTGGAGCCCTGTACCCCACACCCCACCCCTGCACCCCCACTGTCCTGCGGATGGCCCAGCCTGCCCGGGGGGAAGGTGGGGACCTGACCAAGGGTGTGGGTGCTGGCGTGTGTGCGTGCTGATAAGATTTTCTCCCTGAAGAAACATGTTCTGGCTTTGCCCTGAACTTTAGCTTTGGTCTCTGAAAAGGTTTTGCAGAGTCTTGTGGGAACATAAACATTTGGCAGATTTTTTTTTTCCCCCCTGAAAGCTATTTCTTCTCTTTTTTTTTTCTTTTTTTCTGGGAACTTTAGCCAGTAAGATCAAGGCCTCTCCACCCTCCTCCTCCTCCTCCTCCTCCTCCTCCTCCTCTTTGTGAGACACCCAACCCCCTCTCTCCTCCCCTAAATCAAAACAAAGTTAACTGGTGTGGACTGGGAATCGTCTCCCGGCAAACTGGGCCGGAAGAGAGGAGGGAACGCTCTCCCAGGAGGAGAAATTACCAGGGAGGGGAGAGAGAAAAAACACCAAAAGGCATCCGTGGTGGAAAGCGAATTCCAGACATTTAAAATTCTTTGGGTTTTAATCATCTCGGAGGCCGAGCAGCGCTGGGGGCTGGGGGAAGGGACCAAATGAAAACCAGGGCCATCTCCTGGACCCGGCTCCCGGGAACCTGAGTCTGACTGAGAAGTCCAAAGCCCTCCTTCGCCCCTTCTCTGCCCAGACCCCCTGCACCCCCTGGGGCTGGGGAGAGCCCTTCCCCGCACCCCTCCTTGGGTCTCCTTTCACAGGCTCGGCTTGCCCTTGGTTGGAAAGCAGTGACCTTTGCGTTTGCCAGCCAGATTGCAAGTTCCCCAAGGCCCCGGATTATGTTTTGTTCAAAACAAAAAAACACCACCAACAAACAACAAATACCGGCCTCTTTCAGAGGGCGCCTGGGCCCCCTCCCTGTGGGCTGGGCCCCGCAGACGAGGCCCCTTTTCCTCATTAGTGAAGCGGAGGCCTTTAAAGTGCAGGGAGCTCAGTGGAGCCTGGACGGGCCTCCATCCAGATGGAGGGGAGGTGTGTTTGGAGGCCGCCTCGGGGTCCCCTCAGGGACAGCCCTGGGGGGGTGCAGCCATGTCCCTGAGGCCTGGGGATGTCGGGGTCTCCTTGTCCCTCTGTCAGCGACAGCCCCTGACACTGGTGGCTAGAAATGGGGTGGGGGGCAGTGGGGTGTGCTCAGGCACTTCCCCAGGACCTAGGGAGGCGAGGAATTTTGTTAGCTTGGGTGGCCAGATCAGAGGGAAGCGGGGTCCAGGGAGCAGAAGTCAGCGAAGCCACACTTGGGAACCTCCCCCAACAGCAAGGTCGCTATTGGTCTGATTTCCTCTGCAGGCAGCCCTGTTCTCATTCTCCACCACCAGCTCTTTGTCCCACTCCACACTCCTCCACCCTCTACTTTTCTAAAATTTTGATTCTTGGGGCCTTTGTGGTTTTTTTTGTTTTTGTTTTTGTTTTTGTTTTAAGGATTGAACCCAGGGGTGCTCAACCACTAAGCCGCATCCCCAGCCCCCTTTTTAATTTTATTTTTTAAATATCGAGACAGTGTCTGGCTAAATTGCTGAGGCTGGCCTCCATCTTGTAGTCCTCCTGCCTCAGCCTCCCAGGCCACTGGGATTCCAGGCGTGCACCACCACGCCTGACCTTTGTCGTTTTTGTTTTTGTTTATTTCATAGAGAATCTTCCACCTCGCTCCTCCAGCTTCCCCCGGGGCTGATCTGGGGATCTTAGATGAGGATCTTAGGTTGATGGTAGGGTTGATTTCACCTCTTCTTGGACTGCTGCTTCCTAGAGGAGTCTTGGGCTCTTTCAGGGCCTCCCTCTGTTTGGCTGTAGAAAAGGGAGCTCGCTGGAGGATGCTGGTGATGCCAGAGGCCCAGGGGGATGTGCTCTTCAGCTTCTGGGTAAAAGGGCAAGGTCTGGAGTTCAGACTACTCTGTGCGAATCCAGGAGCTGCTTCCTCCAGTCCGGGGGACTTTTGTGTCAGTCATTTCACCTCCTTGCAGAAGAACAGTGCCATCTACCTGGAGTGGTGGAAAAGATTGCATTAAATAATCTGTAGAACCCTTGGCACGGTGTCTGAGATGTCCGCAGTAGGTGGCATTTATTAGCTCCTACGGTTTCAATGAATCCTAACTACTTCTTTTAAAATTAAAAGACTTATTTTATGGTACTGGGGACTGAACCCAGTGGTGCCGTACCGCTGAGCTGCACCCCTAGCCCTAAATTGTTGAGGCCGGCCTCAAACTTGTGATCCTCCTGCCTCAGCCTCCCCAGCCTCAGGGATTATAGGCCTGCACCCCAATACCCAGCTCAGATATTTTATGGTGTAGAGTAATGAAAAGATCCCTGGATTTGTAGTTAGGAGATCTGGGTTCAGATTCGGTCTTCTTAGTCCTGACTTTGATCTTGTGCAAGCCTCTTTTCCTAACTATAACACAGAATTCATGAATCCTGTTGAGAAGATAAGGTAAAGTGAAGTCCTTGGGGGTAGGGCCCCCCTCTGTGTCTTGGTCTTGCATCTCCTCCCCAGTGCCTGGTATCAGCACTCAGGAAATGGGTTAAATAAGTGATTGAGTATAGAATACTAATCTGGGAACAAACAATGTGGGAATGACTTGCTTTAGGTGGGCACAACTAACCCTCTGGTAGGGTCTGTTTCTCCCCCTGGGCTGGGTAGTCGCATCCTGGACCTCCACCCACTGAAAACCAGAAGCACCTCCCATTCCAGGTGTGACAATAAACAACCCTCCAGCCAGGTGGCATGATGCACACCTGGAATCCCAGCTGCTCAGGAGGCTGAGGCAGGAGGATCCCAAATTCAAGGCCGATTTGGGCAACTTAGTGAAACCCTGTCTCAAAAATAAATAAATAAATAAATAAAAAGGACGTGGGATGTGGCTCAGTGGTAGAGGGCCCCTGAGTCTGATTCCTGGTGCCTCAAAAAATAAAATATATAAATGAGAGGTTTATATTGTTGCGGAAATATTCAGTCTGCGAGCTCATTTTGGAAGTGATGAGGTTTCCATATGAGCCGTGCCTAACTTAGGTGAGTGGGTCTGGGCCAGGGAGACAGGAGGTGGCCAAGTCACCTGGGTAACCCACCAGGGAGGGTGAGTGGAGGCCCTGACCTCCCCGAGGAACGCCTGGGGTTGTGGTCAGGGTCGGTGCCGTATCTGGTGGACGCGGGAGTCCTGGAGGGGCCAGGTGCTGGCTGCTGCTCTCGCCGGCCACCCCCCAGCCCTTGCCATAGTGGCCAGCCACCTCCTGGGAGGGCCGGGGCACCTGAAAAGAGTTGGAAACTCACAGATTTGATCCAACCCCTCCCTGTTAGAGACAAAACCCAGGAGGACCTTAGGGTGAGTGAGTCACTGGCCTAGAGCCCTGTTGGAACTGGAGGCTCCCCCTTGGCCAACCCCAGCCAACCTCCTTCCCCACTCTCTGGAAATCTACTGCTGCCTCCCCCACCCCTCGCCCCCCATGGCACAGATCCTGATGTCCTCCGTGACAGGACAGGACCTAGAGGCCCATTTCTGTAATCCTAGTGACGCGCCGAGGCAGGGGGATGGCGAGTTGGAGGGCAGCCTCAGCCACCCCGGGAGACCCGGCCTTGAAATAAAGACTAGAAAGGGGGCTGGGGCTGAGCCCTTGGGGTCAAGCCCTAGTGTGTGTGTGTGGGTGGGGGGGGGGGCAGGAACAGTTCCTGGGGGCGCAGGGTGGTGACCGAAGGAACCTGCTTGCCCACTAACTGCTGGAGGAAGGGGGTGATCCCCAGAGCATATAGGGTGACGCCGCTCCCAGATGATGCCCCGCGCTTTCCAGAGAGGCCCTGATCTGTCAACCTGTGCCCCCCTCCCTCCTCAGCACCCCCTCCCTCCTCAGCACCCCTTCTCTTGCCGTCATGGCAACCAGGGGATTAGGGCTTGGAAGTCCAGAGATGGGAGAGGGTTCAGAGAGGAGGCAGGTGGAAGGAGGTAATGAGAGAAGGAGGTGATGATGATAAGGAGCCCCTGGGCGCTGGGCAGGGTGGGGGGGAGCCCAGGGCAGAGGGGAAGGTGGAGGGAAGAGAGAAACCTCATCCCCTAGAAAGAGAGGGAAAGGTGGGGGTGGGGGGGGGAGAAACCTCAACTTTTATTTAAAATCAGAGAGCCGTTGTAGGCCTGGAGTCGTTGCCATGGCGACGGCAAAGAAAAGGAGATAGAGAGCTTGTGAAGCCGTGAACACCCAATAGGGGTAAATGTTTAAAGCCAGGAACAAAAACCATTCAGAGATAATTAAGTAACAGGCTGCAGGTTCCCTACTCCTGGCCATTGTCAGGGGACGGCCCGAGATGGCAGCCCAGAGATGGCTGCTCGCCCTCTCCTCCTCCACCCTGCACTCCTTCCCGGGGGAACACCAGCCCTGCACCCCATTGTCTCTCCTCTCCTGGGGATTTCCCTGCAGCCCCGGCACCTCAGTCAGACAAGGCTGGACAGGCTTTCTCTCCCGGACCCTATTTTTCTTTTTCTTTTTTTTTTTGGTACTGGGGCTCTCCCCCAGGGGCACGCTACACTGAGCTACACACCCCCAGCCCTTTTTCCTTTTTTTTTTTTTTATTTTGAGACCGCGTCTTGCCACGTTGCCCAGGCTGGCCTCTCGCTTACGATCCTCCTGCCTCAGCCTCCCCAATTGCTGGGATTAGCAGGTTGATGCCACGGCACCGGGCTCTCTCCCTCCCTTGGGGGGTAAAATAGGGTCTTTGTAGGATGAAGAGGTCTTTGGTCAGGTAAACGGGGGGCGTTTCTGGACACCCCGAGTACCTGATGCTTGGGTTGTGAGCTTGCTTCCTTCCTGGATTGTTCCAGGGGAGGCCAGCCTCTGGGTCCAGCCTGTGTGGACTGGGCCCTCCAGCCGCTGGGTTGTGGGGGTGCTTGGGGTGTTCCCCCAGGAGAGTGCCCGCTGGCCAGGCCTTCATTGTCTCTTGCCACTGGCTTTTCTGTGACTCTTCTGGGGATTTTTCCAGACCTCAAGATGCCAAAAGCTGAGCTGGTATTTATGGGGCTAGGTGTATC